TATGTGTTGTTCAAGTTAAATATAATTTACAATGATTTGGTTTTATTTGTTGTCATTTTAAGAGTGTAGAAGTAGTTAATTTAGTAAATTGTAAATTTTTTAATTTAGATTGTTAAATAGGAATTTCAGAGTAAAAATTGGCTATCTGTCCGTCACATCTGCACAAATTCAATACTTCTACCTAATTACACAAGAAACACATTCTAGTTCAAATAAATGAAATAACCGGAAGTGGAAGTGGAATTTTAAAAAATTTTAAAACTTTATCTCCTGTCGGAACACCCAAATCCGACGAGAGCACAAAAAGTTTTTATTATTCAAATAAACTTAAAATTTTTATATATCGCATAAAATTTAAAAACTCCTGTCGGAACACCCAAATCCGACCAGAGCACAAAAAGATTTTATACTTCAAATAAACTTAAAATTTTTATATATTCCAATAAATTAAAACCAAAAAATTCAAACCATAATTTTCTTTTATTTTAGATAGTGTGTTACAAGGAATTGTGTTCAATTCTAGAAATTCAAGAATTTTGTTAAATTAATAATTTGTCCCAAATAATAATATTGAAATTTATGAATGTATCTACTTTGTACAGTCACAAACTTGGGTGAAGAGTCAAACGACCCAGACTATGAACAAGGTTTTAGTAGTGATGTCGATTCATCCACGAGCGATGATAGTGACGACGTAGTAGACACCACCTGGGCTTTTAGAAGTCCCAATATAGCCTAAACCTATGGCTCCGATATCAATCCATTGTGATAGTGCATCAACTCTATCGAAAGCTTATAACCATGTGTACAATGGTAAGTCAAGGCACATAGGAGTGAGACACAGCTATGTGCGGGAACTTATTAGTTCTGGAGTTGTTGTGATTGATTTTGTACGAACACATATGAATTTGGCTGATCCTTTTACAAAAACGATGCCAAGGGACATGGTGTACAAAACAACAAAAGGATGGGGTTAAAGCCCTTGGAAAATAATCACAAGTGAAAGAAAGCCCAACTCAACGTCTAGTACAACGCTAGATCTTGAGTTTAATGATGATGAGTAAGTCACCCCGTGATTGAAGCACTTTTGAATATTAACCATCCCGAGGTAAGTGCTTGAGTCTGCAATGTGTAATGAGGTTGACTATGTCTTAATAGATCTTTTGATAAAGTGTTTGATTGCAGAACACAATTTGAAAAGGTCTACCTATGTGAGCTAGAATGGCGGCCGATTCACCAAGTTTAAGGCTTTACTTGTTGGAGCTCATGAATGGATATGTACACAAGGCCGTTAATAATGTCAAGTTTCTAAGTGAAATTCTATTACAATTTATGTGTGTAATATCTTCAGTATTTCAAAGAGGTTATATAGTTCAAAGCTTAGTCTACTATTATGATCCGAAATATTGTAAAGAATGTTGCACTAAATGAAAGTTCAATCTTTACGACACTTTCAATTATGCATAAATCTTGATAAGTGGTCTATTTGGCAAGGATTGAGCATGTTTATTTTCAATAAATGGAGGAGGATTGTTGGAGATTTATTGAAATAAAGCTCAATTGATTGATATATTACATGGTCCTTAATCATTTTATAAATAAATGATGTGATTTATTAAAATGATTTATTTAAGTATAATGATTATTATTATAATTATGAGAACACTTTTGTGCTAGTGTGCTCTCATATAATTATAATAAAATCATTTTATTTTCTTCTTATCATTTGTACTAATTTCAAATACGTAATTTAAAAGTTGCATTTTAAAGAATGCCATTTACAGCATTTTAGTGGATAATAGCAAATCTTTTATTATATTAAAATGTTTTTAAAAGAATGTTCATGTTCTTTTGGAATTGATGCACCGCTTAGTTCTTGGTTGGCTTAACTGCCATGCAACCAATTTATTTATAAATAGGGATGAGGACCGTGTTGAATTTAGCATGATATACGGCAAAAGTATTTTGTTAATTATTTCTCATTGCCTTACTCTATTACTATTATCTGCAGTATTAGTAATAAAGTGTTTAGACCACTTTATATACAAATCACTTGTTCGGTGTTATTTTATCGGTAACTAAAATACACCATACACCTTCTTTTTATCCCAAAAGTTCTATCTTGTAATCCGGTTACTGTAATAAGGGTAGATAGTAAACTTTTAGGAAAGCGTATTTAATACGTGACTAGAAGTGATATCCGATCCAGTCATATTTATACACCCTTATATTATACAATTATTACCCCCGGCTCTAACAAATAGAATAGACCAGATCAGACCAGACTTGGACAATTATAAAATACACAAGGACTAGACCAAACCAGTTCAAACCCCAGATCAGACTTAAACAGACCAGACCATATCAGACTAACAAAACTCAGTCCCAAAGAAAACATCCTAAATGTCACCATATCCCACAAATAAGTGAGGATGTATAGTATACTTCATATATTTGATTGAGTGAAATCATTATTTATTTATATTTAAATTACTCATTCTTAAATATAATCAAGAAAAGTAGCATATAATTTGACAAAAAAAGTGATAAGGTGTACGGGCATCCATATCCATTAGATTATTTGAGGTTTAATTGTATGATGTGTAAGATTATTTGAAAGATTATCATTGTGAGTAAAAGATTATTTAGAAGATTATTGAAAAAGAAGTTCCGGTATCAAGATTTCGATCCCGGATTATTTTAAATTGTAGTTAAATTGCATTTAATGCATGGTCTAGAAAAACTAATTATTCGAATATCATGGTTGATGAAGAGTTTTAAGATTTGATTGAATAAATGTGATGTGAGAATGATGTATGATAGAAAAACCATTTAGGTTAAGATAACGAATGGAGATGCTCTAATAACAATTACTACCTCCACCCCACTTTAAAATTTCCATTGAAAAACGTTTTCACTTTTAAGGGTATATATTATAATGGGCAATAATGGCAATGTTAGTTAATATGTTATGAGCTATGTAACACCAATACGGGTACGGGGAAACACGGAAACGCAGAAACGGGTACGGGAATACGACAAAACCATAAAATGTAGGATACGGATACAGGGGCCATATATTTATAAATATTAAAAGTCATGGGGGTGTATTTATAAATATTAAAAATTACAATTTTTTTTGAAAATATATACATATATTATCCTATGACTTCCGTCATTCGTGACATTGAAGCATTTAATTCACAATATCAAGATAGTTTGAAATAAATTCATATTTTATCTCATTTACACTAGTGTATATATCTTGAAATATAAACATAGCCAATAAGTCATTAATTTGAAATGAGAAACGAGTCAAACAACCACAACTTTGAAATTAAAAGTGTGAGTTCTCAAAGTTCTTGGATAATTGAGATAGAAAACAACACTCTAATAAAAAACTAAAAGTTATAATACATATTTCCAACGGAGCTACTAATTTCCAAGAATAATATTGGCTTTTAAAAAGCCAATCTTTAATTCTGATTCATCTATAAAAAAGTTGACAAACACAAGTACTCCTGTATCCCCCATGCTCACAAAGTCATCCCCACAACCTCTCGTGACTCCACATTTTACTTGTCGTCCATATACGTAGTTGCATGCGAGATTAAAGCATGGTAAAAATTTATTTTTATTTTTTCATTTTTTAAGAATTTTATTATGAAAATTTTGGGTGTTTCTTTATTAAAAAAAAAAGTTGATACTTGTATCCGTGGTATCCGAAATTTTAAAATAATTATCAAAGAGTTGGAAACTTTTAATAAATTACCTATACGCCCCGAAAACGTACTGTACGGGTATCCTAGAGTATCTGATACGGGAACGTTTCCGATACGCGGATACGGCACCCTAGTGAAATATACGTGCTTCATAGGTTATGAGTAAATATGTGTGTGCTCGACTAACCAATTTCATACGTGTGTGTTCGCGTTAATGTACATATGTTAAAAATAATAGTGGTAGTAGTTATTCAAAGACTTATTAAAAATAAAAAATAAATTAAAGTTAAGTTATATACTTATAAATTCATATTTTAATGGTCATTTTACCTCTTAATAGTTAATCACAAACAATTAAATTACTAACATTTTGTTTCAAATTAACGGATAATGAAAGTGGTTAGTTAAAAAGTTAAGAATGTGCTAGTATTAATTTGCAGATTCAACAGACTTTTAACTAGCTAGCAGACAACTACTGCTATTATAAAAACCGGAAATTCTTAAGTTGAGAACTGCGGTAGTACTTTGTATTTATTTTAAATATAACTATTCTATAAGTTATTTTTAAATTAGTTAGTCAAGCACACGTATAAATATATTTATTTTTAGTAATACAGAGTAATATTTTAAATATGACTATTCTATAAGTTTTTTTAAAAATTAAACTGCATATAAAAATAGCAAAACTATTACATATAAAATAGAATTTTCATATGGAGTAGAATTTTTGAGTTGATTTTTTAAATGCAGTAGATTTTTTAGTCATGTACTTTTAATGACAAAATCAAAGTTGAAGAACTGAAAATATCAATTTCACAATACTTAGAATATGAAATATCGGGAATTCTAAAATCGATGACAAAAAATGTTTCACTCACAAAAAATTGACCAATTTGTCACCTAAGCTTTTTTTGTTTACCTATTTATCTCACGAGATTTTATTTACTAATTTGGTAAAACCTCTTGTTTTTTTACCAATTTGGTAATTTGGCCATTCTAATTCTTTTAAAAGTAATTGTCTCATATAGGACTAAAACAAGATTGAAATGCAAAAATAGGACTTCTTATCTTTTTTCCCCAAAATAAAACCAATTTAATCCTATTATGAAACATAAAGAAATTTGCATCCCAATTTTGCCCATACGATTATGTTCTCTACCCTAGACCAAATATCTCTCCCAACCTCTCGTACCACGCATCGGATCTACGCACCAGAGGCTTCTCCCCTACGCACCAGAAGAAACTGCAGCCGGCCGACTCTCTCTCTCACGCTGCCGTCGACTCTCTTCCTGCGCACAATCGATCGATTGCACACTAGATCTCCTTCTTCCGTGGCACGGTCGGTAGATTCCTCTCTGTAAATTTCTGCCATATACGCTGTTGCCACCACTCTCCCTCACGTTGTCGTCGCTGAGGTTCTCCTCCTCCTCCTCCTCCTTCACCTCCTTCTGCTTCTTCTTTTTATTTTCCTTCTATTTCTCTGTTTTTCTGGGATGTTGACATTGATTTTGCCAATTTTTGGATTTCTATTTTCTATTTCCAATATCCGATTTCTTAGTTCTTAAAAAATTCTGATTTTCCAAAATTTTGGATGATGTCTTCAGATTTTGCCAAGTTTATGGCAGAAATGTGTGTACTGACAAGTGATTATGGCAACATGCATTTATGTAAAATGATTTTTCAACTTTTTTGCCATTAGCTTCCTTTTCTGAATTCCGGTTGTGCTAACATGCTTATTTCATTATTATTTTTGATTTTTCAAATGTTTGGACACCGATTTCATATTTTTGCAAAATTCATTGCAATTCTGTGTTAATATTCCAAAATAAATTTGTCAACTCTTTGTCAGATCTAAAACCCTTATTCATGGCAGATGTGAATCTACTCCCAACCATATATCTTCCAACTTAATGACATAATTATTCCGTCTGAGTTGTCACGGTGGCGGCGGTGCTCAGGAATGGTGGCGGCGGTGGATGGTGACATCGGCCATATGGTGATGGATGGTGACACAGTGTTAGAAGCGGCGGCGAGGGAATTTGTAGGTGGCCCCGGTGACGGCGGCGGCAGGTGGCGGTGATGACGGCGGAAGCATCGCAGGTGATGGAGGTGGCGGCAGGTGTGGCCGGTGACGGTGGTTGCAGGTGACGTGGGTGGTTGAACTGTTACGGTTGGAGATGATGACTTGCCGTTGGAGACGTGAACTTTTATTTTAATTACAAATTCAAATAAGAATTGATTAGGGGCATTTGTGTATAAACTCTTTGAATCCTTCATCAATGTGCAGTGTCGCGTTTGGCGCAGGAGAACTTTTATTTGGTGTTGGAGTTTTACAGCATCTGCGAAGAGGACAAAAATGTGGGACCTCAATGCATTTCAAGATACCATTGGGAGCAGGAATTCTTTGCTTTGTTCGATTTTTCTGTGCCTTGATTTACTATATGATCGCAATATTGAATAGCGATTCGGCTGACCATTCCTCGAATGCTCCTTCTTGGCTTGAATTGACTCGCCGTAATGCCGTATAGAGCGGTTTCCGTCCCGTCGCCGCCGATGAGTTTATTTAATGAGCAACTTTGACTCAATTAGTAAATGGAGTGTGTCTTTTCAGATGTTTTCAATATGTTCTTTTGTGTTGTAACTTGTAAGAATCTCTTAGATCCGAGACTCCGAGAGGACCATTTTTTTCTTGTTTTCCTCAAGTAGTAGTGTATCTTTTCACTCAAACTTGTATCTCTCCATCCTTGTTGGTCACATTTTGCCTCTTTCGCCTGTCCCATTAGATTTGTCTCATATCATATTTGATAATACTTGTGTGGTTACAATTCATCTTATTTTGTTCACACTTTATCAATTCAATATTAATAACACAATTCCACTTTTTCTTGAAAATACATTTTATTAGAAAAACAAAGAAAAAATTATATGAAAATACAACTAAAATTGTTCAATGATCTACAATAACTTCAGCCAAATAGTCAATACAGTCAGAAAGGTAACTTCAACCTATTTTTTTATTATTACTCAATCCAGCACATGAAATGAAAAACCACATTTTTGGTAAAAAAGTTATCTCATTAAAATTTTGTACATCTCCTGCACATTTAGACATACAAAATCTCTCTCTACACACACGCTAGTTTTTACACGCGCATTGCACGATTAGGAAAATGCCCAATGAAAATGATATATGAAATATTCCAAATGTGATTAAAAAGCATAAGCTCGCATGAAGCTACCTGCATAAGGTGTTTGTAATTTCCTTTCATTACAAAGCTACTCATTTGCTTTTCATTTTTTTCCTTTCATGATGCTCTCTACGTGCATAAGCTGTTTGTAATTTCCTATTACCAGTAAGTTCCTTTTGGTCATCTGGGATTTCCCGTTTCATCTTTTTCCTTAAAAATAATACTCACTATCTAATGGCATACTCTAAACCAAATTATATTGACATTTATGAGATCACATTCTATAAGCAATACATACATAGTACAACTCCTCAATGTAGGGTTCTTTCACCTTCTTTCTTGGAAGTTGCTAAGAGGCATATATCACTTTCTTGAAAGGAGGTCTCCAACATATGAACATGAGAGAATATTTCTCGAAGATATATAGCTAGGAAACTCCCTAGCAATGGGAATGAAACCTTGGATGCAACTTCCTCATGTCTTTCATATACACCTATAAATAAGAAGTATATTGTTGTTCATTTGTATCAGTTTAGAAAGTGAGAAAAGTGTGTGTGAATAGTGAAATACACTTAGTGTAGAAGTGTATTGGTGAAAATTTATTTTTTGTAATAGTTGAGTGTGAGAGTTTGCTCCTCTTATTGTAATTCTGTTCTTGATATTGAATACAAGAATTTTCCAATCCCAACACTCGGCTAGTTCATAAATATCAAAGATTCAATACCACTTGATGTATGGGTGTTCTGAAGGGTTAGGTAAGGGATTGTAGGATAAGTGTATATGTTGATACGTGTGTGTTTCGTAGATTTAATTTATAATATTCAAGAATAAAAATTACAATCTCTCTTTACTCATTTGTATAAAGTAATTAATATAATTTATTTTTCAAACAATAGACTAAACCCTTCAACGCATCCATTCCAAATTTTATACAAATATACTCATTTGTATAAAATATATACAAATTTTATAGCAGACCAACTACGCCAGATGTATTAATTTCACTTCCATTGCAAACTTGTCACATGCCCTCTTTGATTTCTCCTCTCTCATGAAAGGAAGTGATGTCCATAAACAGTTTATTAAACACATAACGTCAAGTACATAAATCAAAACCTAATATTTCATGACAAAACACCAACATCGATCTTAGGCCCATTTTTTTTTGAGTTTTGCATCCTATAGTCTGATTTAGCTCGGACCAGGCTTGAGTGGATGACAACCCTAACAAAGAACATATGTATTAGAATCTATTGAATGATATGTCCATCATGCTCATAGAAAATCTATATTTCAAACAGTGCAGTTTTACTTTTCAAAGTTGTAGTATTAGAACCAAGAGCCTAAAGTTAATACAAAAATTGTCATTTATGTTGGTGTTAATTTTAATTCCCCACTGCATTTAAAGAATTGATGAAGAGCTAAAATATATGTAAAAATAGCTAAAGTAATGCTCTACGGTAACTTCACCGAATATAGGCAAAAAAGTAACTCCAAATTTATGCGAAATCAAAAGTTATGTGTTAGGTGAAAAATGTTGGCTGATAGGCCGCATAAGTCGAAGAACGTGGATACCAAACGGGCTCACAATCAGATTATACACACCAACAATTACTCAATTTTTTCTGCTGATTGTGAGTAAATTTAGCGAGCAAAACGATCAACATATTCACATTGGAGTATGTTCCCACAATGAAAAGGTGTAGATTTTCTTACCTTGCAGAATTGGTAAATCTATGCCACTTATCACACCAATTCAACATGTATAATCGTGTTAATTTACTTTTTCAATAAATTCTTTTGGACTTTTGATTAAATTGATGCATCTTTTCATTCAAATTGTCATAACACCTTACTTTTGGACTTATGATCTTAGTGTGGTGACACGGTATACTTTATTTGTGATCATCAATTTTATGTTCACTTTCTTTTTAAATTGCTTTATATACATTCGAGGAAATTCTATCAATAGTTGATTCTTTTCGTTTGTGACAACTGTCGTCTTTTGGTCTATGATATTTTAAACACATTACGTTAAGTACATGGGAAATTCTATTGACAGTCCGCTTTTACTAATCACAGCCACTTAATTAAATGAATTATCTAAACTACCCTTTCTATATGTAACTATCGTTAAGGAAGACGTCGTCTGGTGCAGACGCCTCCGGGGATAAGGAAGACGTCGTCTCCGCTGTCCGAACTCAGAAACTCATGAATTCAGCTCTACCCCATAATGATTCAATTTTTTCATCTGTTGCTCGGAAGGTCTCGGTACCTCTGTTATTTATTCTTATAAATCTTCAAACTGAAGTTAATTTATTGAAATACATTCTCTCTTGTGCGATAGCTTATGCATTGTGATTTTTTGAGTAACTGGATGACTTATATTGAATTACAACGTAACTAGTAGATTTTCTCATGGTTTGGTTTTCGGATTTCCATTAATCTATGTTTAATTTTGATTGTGGAATCCACAGAAGATTAGAAGGGGAGAAAATATATACTACGTATATATACACATATACATATATACTCCTTTATTCTTTCAATTTTTTTGTTACTAACACGGTGCTTGCAGGAGAGAAAATTATCAAATTACGGGAATCTCTCGTCTGACAAGCAAAAATACGGGAGTTCCGTTTAGGTTACCAAATTACGGTAGTCGGAATTGGCAATTCCGACTGGAGGAGAAGTCCCGAATTAGGGGTGTTTTACCAAAACACGGGAAAAGTAGGATGGAGTTGCCAAAATACGAGAATTTTCTTAGGGTTTACCAAAAAGCGGGAGTCGGAACTACCAGTTCCGACTAGAGATAAAAAAAAAACTCCAATCTCCTGCAGTCGGATTAGCCACTTCCGACTAGGGGTTTTTCTTTTTTTTTAAAAAAAATTTTTGGCCGCTTTTCATTTTCAAAGTTTTTTAAACTAAACTTTTAAATTCCATTATTTTTTAAAAAATTCCTTCATGTCTGATATACCACTTCCGACTAGGAAGTTTTTTTTATTTGGTAAAAGTGATTCCTGTTTTAAATTAAAGTTTTTGATTTCCAACTAAAGTTTTAAACTAAATTGGCCAATTTCATTCATGTTTTAATTTTTAAATTGGCCGAATTTTTCTCTTTTTTTAATTAGTGACCAATTTAATTTTTAAATTGGCCTAAAGTTTTAATTTTTAATTTTTATAAATTGACCGAATTGTAAAATGTTTTGATTTTCAAAGTTTTTTAGTTAAAGTTTTAAATTAGTGGCCGAATTTAATTTTTAAATTAGCCTTTCAGCCATATTGCGAAATATGAGCATCACCTCAGCCGATCAAAGCGTAAAGTCATCATAATTCAACTTATCTGATTACATTTATCTAATAAAATTGTATCTAATTAAATTTATATGATAAAATCTTATCCGATTGAATTTATCAGATTTAATTTATGTGATTATATTTATCTGATTAAATCGTTTAACTTCATTAAAACTAATAGGGGCATATTTTTTAAAATGGAAAACATGCATTTAATCATAGTCGGATTTGCATTTCAGAAGATTGTATCCTTACTGGGTTGAATTGGGGTTTTTATGATCTGGGTCTAAAAAACGCGAATCACAAGTGTGAATATTAAAATTACATCTATATATTAAGTATCTCATGGTCAATTTCATAACTCGTGTTCATAATATACGATAGTATATGCTAATTTTATTTCAGAAGATTGTATCCTTATTAGGTCGAATTGGGGTTTTTATGATCCGGGTCTAAAAAATGTGAATCACAAATGTTAATATTAAACTTTCATCTATATATTAAGTAACTCGTGGTCAATTTCACTACTCGTGTTCATGATATAGGCTGATTGCATAAAATTCGAATGATGGTGTCCTTACTAGGTCGAATTGGAGGTTTTATGTTAGGGTCTAAAAAATGTGAATCGCAAGTATGAATATTAAAATTCCATCGATATATTAAGTAAATCATTGTCAATTTTACAACTCGTGTTCACGGTATAGGCTAATTGCATTTCAGAAGATTGTATCCTTACTCAGTCAAATTGGGGTTTTTATGATCCGGGTCTAAAAAATGTGAATCACAAGTGTTAATATTAAACTTTCATCCATATATTAAGTAACTCGTGGTCAATTTCACTACTCATGTTCATGATATAGGCTGATTGCATAAAATTCGAATGATGGTGTCTTTACTAGGTCGAATTGGAGGTTTTATGATCAGGGTCTAAAAAACGTGAATCACAAGTATGGATATTAAAATTCCATCTATATATTAAGTAAATCATTGTCAATTTTACAACTCGTGTTCATGGTATAGGCTAATTGCATTTCAGAAGATTGTATCCTTACTCGGTCAAATTGGGGTTTTTATGATACGGGTCTAAAAAATGTGAATCACAAGTGTTAATATTAAACTTTCATCTATATATTAAGTAACTCGTGGTCAATTCACTACTCGTGTTCATGATATAGGCTGATTGCATAAAATTCGAATGATGGTGTCTTTAATAGGTCGAATTGGAGGTTTTATGATCAGGGTCTAAAAAATGTGAATCACAAGTATGAATATTAAAATTCCATCTAT